TCTGTCCCCACATGTCTCCCCACCCCTTGTCCTTCCCATCTTTGATTGGCACCTTGTGTCCTGATGTCACCTGGTGGCAGAGTATATCTGGAGGGGAAGGGACACCTCGAGACATTTTCTACACCGGCTGGAGGACGAGAATTGAATGATTTGCAAGGGGAGCACTTGGCACTGTGAGTATTGCAGGAGCTCAAAGCAATAATGATGGTAGAAGGGGAAATGAAGCAGGAACTGTCTGCAAAATTCAGAAGAGAGGAAGGCCTAGATAAAACTCCACGGGGAAAAGTTGTTTCTGTGCTTGGGAAGTATAAATGCACTCAATAACAAAGAAAGGGAGCTGTATTTTTTGGTATGGTCTTTTTTATTTCATCTTAACATCAGGGCTCACTGCCTGGAGTAAAAGCAGGTGCAGCAGAGGTGGTTTGTCTCAAAGTATAGTGGTTCTTCAAGCAGCCAGCTCTGTCCTGTGTGGGGCTACTTGGGTTTATCATGCTGGACCACCCTTTAGCCAGGGCTCGCTGGTGGCCCTGGGGCTTGTGGACTCAGCCGGCCAAGCCATCCCATGCACGGTGCTGTCCTGAGGGATGGCTGAGGAGCACTGGTTATAGCACACAGTTGTCTGGGTTTGTAGCTGGTGTTTCCTGTCCAAGTGCCCAGTAGCACTAGCAGAGCATGTCGGTAGGGAGTGCTGGGTGATGTTGCATCTCTGGTGTTATGGAATTCTTTCTTTAATGAAGACCTTAGACAGTCTTTCCTATGATTTCCACCATGGAAGCAGTTGTGTGAATACAGTTCTTTTTGAAGTTAATGCCTTTTCAAATGCATCCTCTTCTATTTCTTCTTGGTCTTAAAACTGTTGCTAAAATAAAGTGTCCAAGAGCCTGTGTAAAACAGGACTAGAAATGGCTGAACCTGAATGCATTTGTTCCATCCAGCTCAAATAACTGAGGCTGGAGCTGTGAGACCACACATACCTCACAGGCATCTTACACTGGATATAATATTCTTTGATGAGAGCCTGGTGGCAAGGAGGAATCCAGCAGCGAGGAGGAATCTTATCAGGTCAATACCTGATGGTACAAGAACTCGATTAAAAGGACTGTAAAAAAGAAGATATTTCCTCATGGAGTCTGTCTATTGTCAGCATAGCACTGCATGGAGAGTCACTGCTCATGTGGGTTCAGTACCTGGCAATCAAAGTCATCCCTTGAGATGGAGACAACAATGCACGTGGAGGAGTCTGTATTTGAAGCTTTTGGTTGGGGGGGAAGATCAAATCCCACACTGAATATCTCTGAAGAAGGTCATGAAAGCAGCTCTATTTTCTGTCAGGGAAATTTTCCGTAGAGTATAAGTGATTAAGGCTATGGGGGGAAGGGAGAAGATTAAAGAGATGGCATTTATCAATAGTACTCAAGCCTCTTTAAGTTCAAAGAAAAGTAAAAGAAGGAGGATTAACCCGGCCAGCAACCCAGAGGTGGAATATCTGACGCAACTGAGTTAAGAATATTACTGCGTATTAGGTATAATTAGCATTTGGATGCAAGCAAGGCTCTTACCCGATGGATTAAGTCCCGGACTGAGCAGAAATGCTGTCAGGGACAATTAGCTAACACCTTGTCAGCGGAAGGGGCAGAGGAAGCATTTGGAAGAACATCTTGTAGCTCAGCAGCCTTTGTGTCCACAGCTAGCAGCGCTCGCCCAGGAGCTGCATCCCCGCGCCGGCGGCAGCAGGAGAGCTTTGGTGACAGCCTGGGAAGGCACGAGGACGTGAGGCTGCACGGCACTTGCAGAGCACGACAGGAGAATACCCAGGTCCACTGAGCGCTTATCAAGCCATCTGGTCCAGTATCAAGGACTATACAACTACGCAGGTATGGGGAGATGGAAATAGCACTGGGAAGCTCCATGGGTGCCTCATTTGTGCCTGTGATCCTGGGGATCTGCCCACTCACATCTGGCATGTGCAGGCCGATTCCTGACCTGTGGTACTGGGACAGCTTCTGGTGCTGTTGGGCAGCACCCTCTCCAGCATGAACAGAAATGCCTTTGCGTGTGTGTGGTGGAGAATGAGTCCCACCAGCTCACCAGTGGGAGGGTAGCTTGACTCCTGCTCACTGATGCCGTGAGCTTGAGGGTGTTTTGTGGCATTAGGGTTGCCTTTATACAGGGAGGCAAGAATGGAAGAAGAGACAGTTGCTCTTTTTAGTGTCATTGAATGCCCTTTCTCCAGTCCATCCATGTGGGAGAGAGGATGTAGTGTGATTTTGGTACTCTTTCTGCTACCAAGTTCCAACTATACAGTGGCTGACAGGGGGATACAACTCCTTAGGATCAGGCTGGAGGGGAACTCCAAGGACCGAGTCTTTCTCAGACTCAACTATTTCTCAACTATTCTCAACTGAGTGATGACCATGGGGCAACATATGGACAACTAAAAAGAGTTTTTAGCTAGACAACTAAAAGAAATTTTTGTGAAATTTTTGTTAAATCACTGCGTTGGCAGAAAACAGGGTCTGGCAAAGCAGGGGGTGAAATCACTTGAAGACTGAGCTTAGATGCCTCTTACAAATTGTGGATATCAGGGTAAAGTTTGGGAAAGTTAGCCCTTCTATTTCTTCTGTTGTGCTCTTGGGTACAGCCCTTGAGAGAGATCCCAAGGCCCTTCGCACATCAGAGGAACTGAAGGTGCTTGGAAGTAGCTTAGGAGTAGTAGCGTGACCTTGCATTTCTGAAGGGGGATGTAGTACTGCAATCAAGCACCTACTGACTCAAATTTTTCCTGAGACCAAGGCATACTGCAGACACTGCATGGAACACAGGTTTCCTGTGCACAACATTTTGTTTTAGAGCAGTACTTTTAAAATTCCTCCCTGGTCCCAAGGAACAGTGAGACACCAAATTCACTCTTGATGTAGGTTCACACAGCTCTGTGTGACTGCAAAACAGTGGCTCAAAAAAAATGGAATTCAAGAGATTTTGGAGTAGCTCCCAGCAATGTAATTGAGGTCACACCAATCACTGCACTTCTGTTCTCACTCTGTAAAAGATGAAAGTAACAGTGTTTTCCTGTTCTGCCATAGCTCTGTGAGGATAAAGCTGTAAATACTGGGCAACTGCTCAAGTACTTGAGAGACGGCAGCCACATAAGTAACTTGTGTGATTTTGGCAGATCCCTGGGTTTGTGGGGATGCTGTGCGCTTCCTGGGCACTGTGTGCTGCAGGCGGGGAGTCGCATCTGTGCATACCTCAGCTGCAGACACAACCATCTGCCGCTCCATTTGTGATTGCTGGAGCCCGTCCAGCCTCCTGCAGCTGAGGCAGGAGCTCTACCACAAGCAGCAGAACTAGCATGCCTCTAGGTGCTATTAGCTGGATCCATCCTAATGCCCTTACAGATGGAAAGATGTCAAGGGGGAAGTATTCCCAGAATACCACAGATACGGTAACACAGCTCTTGGCTTGTCAGTGCATTCACAGAGACATAGAGGGGTTACTTGGATGCTCTTTCCTCTTGTACTTCATGCTTTTCTTTCAAGCACTCAGGCTATTTCAGGCACTGTCAAAGACATGAAGCCCAAACTAAGAAAAGAACTACCTCATCTTTGATGGCATGTGTGGTTTGGAGATTAAAAGTCCAAAGTGACACTGGAGGTGAGACTAAGGATTAGGTTAGAGCACTGTGGTGACATAATGAGATTAGTTGGCCTTTTGTACCAAAATCCTGATGCTAATTTTATTAGCTATCAGCACAGCTGCCCAGGGACAGACACTAGGAAAGAAGGGTTATATAATGGTCTTGGAGATGAATGTGACTCCAAGGAACACCTCAAGGAGAGGGTGGGAAGAAACTGGCAATTATTTTTGTCCACAAATGTGCTTGGGCAAACCATTCTAAATGCTAATTAGCATGAAATTTAATGAGAGGCTGGAAGCTCCCCTTTGGGCCCTGGTGATAGTCACTGCTGTCCTGCCGGGGAAAGAACCAAAACTGTCAGGGGAGCAGTTCTGCCCATCTAGGCACCAGAAAGGTATCTCCCACATGAGAACTGCTCCCTGATAACCACTGACCTCTTGAGAAATGGAGCTCAGACCTTGATCCATGCACGGTGTGGTGCTGAGGAGCTCGATGCATGTAATACGATGCTTCAAATCATCAAAATGGGTAACACGTCCCAGGGAAAGTTACAAACTCTTATTTCCTGAGAAAAATCCTGAGATATTAAGTGTCTGCCATGCTTTGCCTCAGTTTTCTTTACAATCTGTCAAACATGTTCTGCTATTTCGCAGGAGATTTAGACTGACAAATATGAAACTGCAATTGCAGTTGCGTCCAGAGTAAGGTCCAGAAATTAAGGATCCTCAGCAACCCACCTCTACCAGTGACCGAAAGGCAATATTTAGGCAGTATAATCTGCCTAATAATAGGCAATATTTAGGAATATAAAGAAGAGAGGAACATATCATGATTACTCCTAAAGGTAGGATACTTTTCTGAGACAGAAGTGCATCTTTGTGGTTCCTACTAGTCATATTCTGAACTAGTGAATAAAAACAGCAACACTGCTGTTTCAGGACAAACTAGAAGAAAATCAGCATTGGCATTAGCCTTCCTATTTTGTCCAAATTGTTGGACCCGCTGCTGTAGCAATCATCTTCAAGAGTCCAGCTGTGTCTGAGAAGCATAGCTCTCCATTACTCCACAGGTCCTCACACTGTGGGACTGAGTGTCTTTTTGTCCCTGTCTGGAGTGTCTATGGTTTGGTATCCTAATTCCAGCATGCAGAACAAAAGGCAATGCTGTCATGTTATTCTGTATGCATTGAGTCTTTCTTTATGTTTAATCCTATCAAAACCAGCTTTCCATAATTACTCTGTCATTTGATTTTGGTACCTAAAATTATAAGCAAAGTGTCCTACCTTTCTTTGAGTCCTTGTAATTATCTTGCAGACTGAGGGACCTGAGCAGTTAGTGCCCTGACCCACACAAGAGCTCAGCAATGAGTGAGAACCCACCTGCCACTCTGACCACTACAGATGCTCCAACTGGTCCTACCACACCACGCAAAGGGCCTCCCAAGTTCAAGCAGAGACAGACAAGGCAGTTCAAGAGCAAGCCTCCTAAAAAAGGAGTAAAAGGGTAAGAGCGTTCACAACCCCTAGGGCAGGGGGACGAGGGCACCTTTCCTGCCCGTTCAGAATCTGGGGGAACTGTAGGGGTGGCAGCCCATGTCCCAGGGCTCTGCACCGGGGGACCTTCAGCAATGGCAATAAACCATTTTCATCATGTCACTGCTAAGCAAGGCTCCTGAAGCGCCACTGATCCCAGGAAGGAGCCAAGAGGCTTCCCCATGATCTCAGGGAAGGTCTTACGTTGTCACCTCTCCTGGCCTGGCCCCAGCCCAGAGCTGCTGCTCCTTGTCCACTGCCTTCCTGGACAGGGTAACTTGCGTCATGGGCAGACTCCTCTTTCCTGGTTGCTGCCAGTCCAAGCTGACCCCTTGTCCACTCTTTTCTCCCGTAGGTTTGGAGATGACATCCCAGGCATGGAGGGATTGGGGACAGGTAAGCGCTGCAAGATGTTTTTGTTACAGATCTCTTTTAAAACAGCAAGTGCAATCACACATCTGCATGAGAGAGGGCAATCTGCGGAGTCAGGCAGCAGCATCACTCCTTGGTCTCTCAGCGGTTCCCAGGACTGTGGGAGAAGCCTAGCACTCCCTCCACAAGCTGTCATACTTATGCTCACATACACAACAGCACAGAAAGGCCATTGAGGCATACTTCCATTTTTTAAATAATTTCACTTGGCTGCAAATGTGCTTGTTTGTTTTCTGCTAATACTCTGACTAAAAATTTTGGCAGCAAGAGGTTTCAAATAAATACCAAATTTTAAGTTATTAATACAGGAAATTCACAGGAACTAAATCTCAGCTAGTTAACTATTTGAGTTATCACCAGAATCTTTGTTTTCAGATTTTTTTGTACCCACCTGGCATTGAGAAACACACACATGCATTGAGAAACACACCTGTGACAAGTCACAGCTTCTTGGGCTTCAACCACAGCTATCACAGCACCTATCAATGAATTACAGATCGTGAATGTTGCAGACCAAATTATTCAGCATCTGATTTAAGACAACACATGTCTTTAAGAGATCACAGTCTACCAAGGGGAAGTTTAGAAGAAAAGCAGAAATCACATAACAGAGGCTAGTTTCACACCAGTCTACATAGTCACTGAAGAGAGTATAGAATATGTTGCTTTCCTCTTGTACCTATGAAAAGGTGCACAGGAGAAAATACAGTGATCTGAAGGGCATGACTGCCCACTTAATTTTCAAGGAAAGGTCCATTTTTCTTCCCATCTCTTAATGTTTCCTTTGTAAATCTAAAAGCCTTTTTATTCAAACAGAAGAAATCTAAGCTATGCAGTGACCAGAACCCATTCTCTCTCTTTTGCAGATATCACAGTGATTTGCCCATGGGAAGCTTTCAGCCACCTGGAACTGCACGAGCTGGCCCAGTTTGGGATCATCTAAAGCCCCAGTATCTCTCCTGCTGTCACCTGGTGGCTCCACAAATTCTAGCATGGTCTTCATCACCTTTGACACTTACTTTTGGCCCTCGCACCCATCAGCTGACACTTTACTGCTCATGGGCAGAGTGGCTTTGTAAGCGTGAACTAGAAGCAATTTCTTTGCAGATCAGAAAAGAAGTTATTCAGGATCTTGAACAGACCTCATGCTTCATGTGATGAAGCTACTGAAAATGTCTCAGTAGGGCCCTGTAAAATAGCCTGTCTTATCCCTCTGCTGCCGATCTTCATGTGCGTGAAGAAAACGGGATACTGCATTTGAATTTTTCCCTTAATTAGCTCAGATACTCTGTTCATGAATGTGCATGTACATCCATACCTAATTATACCATGCCCATCCTTTTTTTCTTCCTTCTCTCCTTGACAGCTTTTTATATAGGTTTTCTGCAGGCATGTCCCTATGTTATCTGAGACATCAATTAGTTGCTCAGAATATATCTGTAGAGGATAGAGTAAAAGAATCCCCAGTCCAGACACTAGGCCATTTTGCAGTAGGAGGCCTTCCCCCAAGGGATCACCATAAGGAATCACTAAGATTTATCTCATCAGCAAAATGGCTTGGAAATATTCCCTTTGTTGTACTACTCAGCAGCCATGAGATGCTGGCTGTTGGAATAATGTTAAATGAAAACTTGTGGTATCCAAGATCAACCAGGAATGAATTATCCTACCAGTCACTCCTCTCACACTCAGGAGTCCTTGAGATTCTAAAGAGATTCGCCAAAGGACATTGATTTCCCTCTCTTCCAATGAGAAACCTCTATGAAACACTTGCACTGTCCCCATGTCCGTACATAGCTATATGAGGTGTTTTCCTCCTCAGGACATATTTGCTGTTAAGGTGACAGAGAATCATTACAGTTTGTCACTAGGCAGTGCCAGTAATCCAGCCCCATCCAGAACAGCATGGTGTTGTATTAGTTGCCTCCTCTTCCTTGTATTTTGCATAGGGCAAGTCTCCCTTCATGCCACCCACGCTGGGTCCTGCTCATCACAGAACAGGAAGGTTTTTCTCTCCGCCCTGTGGCAACTTCATGCTCTAGAGCTGGCTTGGAGAGGCAGCCCAGTGGCTCTTTCCCAGGGAGAGAAAGCAGGCGGCAAGGCTGGGCTATTGATATGTAGGCAGTCACAGGCTGATTCCTTTAACCTGACTGATTTGTACCATTCTGGTCCCTGGCAGCCTGAGTGCTGGTGAGTGCTGAGGCACTTGCGCCTGCCTAAACGATCACAGAAGGCCCCAAGAGAAGGGCTTTTGTTTTGTTTGGAGGCAAGGGGCAAGCATTGCTACAGCTTTGTGATATTCATGAGATTATAATTTTAGTCATTGCCTTCAGCTTCACAAAGCTCATTTACATAAAAACGACTTCCATTCAGTTTATTTCTCTGTGTTGAACATGTTCTTGGGAATAAGGAACGGTTGTGGTGAGGAGAGCAAGTCCTTCTGTTCATAGTCAGGTGTAGTAAAGATCGACCCCCATCCATAAAGCATTGCTATAAATCTGTAGCTGTGCTATTGCTATCAGCTACTGTCATCCTCAAAATAAAAGCTAACAGTTTTCTTTTAAAAAATAGCTTCAACACCAAAACTAAAGGAAATTTTGTTGGCAACCTAGAGTATGGCTTTTATTTTTCAGCACTTCTGCCATTAGAAATAGCAAAACAGAGAGGCAGTTCAGAACAGCAGCACGATCACTGCACACGAGGCAGGTATCATTTGGCTAATTGCAGCACCCAGCTATTTCCTTTGGCAGAGACAATCTGTCCCCTCTGCTTACCCCTCTTCTCTCAGGCCTTGTAAAGCTTTTTTATTATTATTTTCCTATGTGTTCTGTGTAAAAGTGACATTTTATTTAGCTTTTACTTGTAGGAGACTGATTTCATCTTTTTTCGAACTCATGTCCTAGTTCTCTTCTTTTGTGATTAAATGTGTATGTTCCTATGTTAATGCTCTTGTGCTTTCCCTCATGTTATCTGTCCTGTGGCATGTGATCCTTATTTCACCTTATCAATCTGTTCTCTTTTTATAAACTATTTGAAAAAAAAAAAAAAAGACCCAGTGGATCCAGTTTTGGATCATGCAAGAATCTTGCTGGCTGCTTCAATTATCACTGAGTTGTTCTGTTTTTAAGCAGGAGTATACTAAGAAGAAAAACTTTAAATTTGTCCTTTCGCTCTTTTTTTTCATCCCAGGCCTTGAGAAAGCAGTACAAAAATAGTGAGATTAACCTGACAGTAGATACAGAGATATCAAAAAAAATCTCCTTAGTCCAGGGACTGAAGCATTTCAGCAAACAAGAAGATACTGGTATAGTTCTACCTCTCTGCCTGCCATATTCCTTGCTCCCATCACAGAACTACTCAATTCTCCTTCCTAAAACAGACTAATAGCACACACATACCCTAGCTCTCATGCATGAATGAAGAGCTTTTTCTGAAGATATTTTGAGTCACCACAGCTTGTTAGTTATTTTTAAACTTTTTTTTCTATGTATTAAAAGGAATTATATTTATTTCTTGTAAGGAATTCTGAGAATTTAGGGTAGAGTCTTAAAACATCCTCACAATTGTTTTGTTGGAGGTTCTGAGGATTTCTCTAAGGAGATATATTCCCTGGAACCTTAATTTAATTTCTCAAGCCATGAGAGTTGGCTGTGATAAAAGGAAGTAAGGGTATCTAAATGGATCTTGAAGGTCTTCAGTCTATATATATTGTAATACGTTACTCTCCGTTCTTTTACTATAAAACAGATCAAAAGCAATAAAAAAAGAATAAAAATTATTTTAAAAATTCTAAAAGTGTAATTTGTTTTACTTACAAAATATATTCAGAGATATTCAGATGACTTAACTTCTCATTCTAAAATCTTTTAATTGGGAAAGCTCTGGCAACCATTTGCCTTGACAGAAAACTCGCTACTTTATCTCCATACAATAGGCAATGAAGTCTTGTGGTATCATCTGAAAAGCAGATGTTCTCTGAGTGATGATTTGTGTATTCTTGAGCTGAAATCTTTGACCAGCTAGGTCTGTTGGGCCCCTGTATGCAACTGGATGCCAGTATGTTTCCACCCCATAGCAATAAATGACTCAGACATGTGAGTACCTCTCAGCTTCTTCTCAATGCCTATGACTGCAAGATAGAGCTGCAGACTATGATCTTCCATTGTTTGTTCTAGCGAAACTTTCTAAATGTTCATATAGGTCAGCCTCAGAAAGGTGTGGAGTTTTTTTTTTTCCCTTGGTGTCATCTTCGGAGGTTTTTTTCTCTTTACTTAATCACTGACTGTCTAATGCAAAGTCTTCTGGCTTTGAATGTTTTCTATCCTGTGAGGCACAAACACCAGTTAATCACGAATCTTTCTTGGCTTGGTATAATTCTTTTCCTACACCAGTTAATCAGAAATCTTTCTTGGCTTGGTGTAATTCTTTTCCTAACTTCCCACTTTGAAAGCCAGTAAAACCTCCTTTCATGTGCTTAGTGCTATTTAGTAGGACCAGCTTTAAAGCTGGATTTAGCAGATGCCTGGACAAATTATGTATCACACCAAGAGTGCCCTAGAAGATGAGTCACGTCCTCACTATCCTCGTCTTCACAGCAGTGGACAGTGAGTCAGCTAAGTAAATCTAAATCTCTACAGGAAAAGATGAACTTTGGGAAAAGCAAGAACATGCCTCTTACTTTTTCTCTCATCAACTGTCTAAATCATCTAACGAATATTGATTTTTTAAAGAAATCTTCAGCATAAATTGGGTTCCTTAAGAGACCTGAAACACTTGGTGCAAGATTTCTGTCCTCCAGTCATGTGCAAATCTGGGCCTCACTCAGTACCAAGTCATTATCACATTTTTCTATGATGTCAGTCAATCTTGTATAGAAGTATCACACTCATGCTAACATATGTGCTCTGACAGTAGCAGTGTGTGCTGTTTGAGACATTTTTCTATAATATAAATGTGAATCTGAGACTGACAGAGAGTGAGCTCAATAGTATCCGTTATCTTTAGCTCTCCAGTACCTGCTTTTTGACTTAGTACTTAGCATTATGACTTTATCTTTAAAATACAGCTCACAGATTTCAGATGCAGCTGTGAGTACCCACTATTTATGGCAGTGAAATTCACGGGAGAATTTTTACACCTTGTTGCTCCTGTTGTGTGAAATGAATACTTGCACTATGAAAGCTTGCTGACTTCAAGCACTTGCAAATATTTTCTTGTCTCCAGCGTTTTTCCGAGGCTTTCTCTCATATCCCTTTAAGTATGAATGATGGGGCTAAGTACAGTAGTTACCTGCATACATACAGAATACACCAGCCTGCATTATGCATGGGAAGATCAGGGAAGGGGCACACAGTCAAACTTCCTTGTCTGATGTAGGTTTGGAGCAGGTCTCTGGTACTCTGCAGACTCAAGATGGTCGTGGGCATGTAGGTGTTGGAAAAGCCCATGGGAAGGAAAAAGTTCCTTAAGAACATGTTAGTGCACTAGGTGGACAGCCCAAGTCACCTCCAACAACTGCTACAGGAGAGACAACATCTCAGACCCCAAAAGGTATCAGGTGAACACAGGGATGCTGTGAAGGCCCTGCTCTGTGAGCTGCCTGCCAGAGCAATATGCCCAGTCCTGCCCTTGTGAACGTGTCGGACAGGGTACGGCAGATAGCAAAGGAGCACTCACTGGAGCTCCAAGATTATCATAGTAATGAGGAAAACCACCTGCACAAGGCGCAAATCATTTACATGTGGCATCACTGAGTTGGTTGAACATATTCCGTAACAACAGGTCTAGCTCCATCTGGGAGGACTAAAGAATCCAGGAAAAAAGAGTGCTCAGGCTGAAGTGCATCAAATTAAACAGATATCTTTAGAGGTCCCTTCCAACCCTAAGTATTCTGTGATCCTGTGATTCTGTGAAGTAAAGCATAGCAGGAAAAAAGAATGGAAA